CCCCAAAACCCCAAAACCCCAAAACCCCAAAACCCCAAGAAAATATATACTATTGAATTAAAAACCTTATAATAAGCATCTACAAAAGATGGGGTGAAGAATGTGAATAACAAAATCCAAATGAGCAACGATTAGCGATAAATCAACAATAATTCAGAACCATTTCACTATAGAAGAGCGTAAGATTGGCTAAACTTCAAACTAAATGTTTTTGAAATAGTACAAATATGAATTTCTGGTCATGCTGTTTAGACACCTGAAAGCAATACAATTCTTCTTACTCTAAATATACTTCTTCACATCCGCCAACTTGGTGTATGTGCCCCTGATTCTTGGGAATTAATTGTTGCCCAGAGAGTTTAGAGTTAAGCCTAATTAAGATTGCACTTTATTTTGGCAGCTTAAAAGGTTTGCAATTCATTCATATGTCTTCAAGATAATTGAGATACCTTAAATTGTGAGCGTAATGAAGAGCTTAGCATTATTTGAATTTATAGCAAGAGTAGTCTAATTATTGACACTGTATAAAATGAAGGTTAGACTGGTAAAACTTCTAAATTTCTTTCTACAGTGGACGGATTAGGATTAGTTACAATTTGTTTTCAAGTATTCAATAAGCTAAACTTACTGGGAAATTTGCTTGAGCTCAGATCTATGGAGGTATTAACGAGTTTAGTTTTAATTAATCAATAATATGAGAGTGACGAGTAATTATATCAAATATTTCATACTAATAAGAAAGTCTATCCTCACTCTGTCTTATCTTCTATAACAGTTCGTGTAGTTAATCATTTATTTTATCACTCTATATTAATCTAAACATAAATTTTATCCCTCTATATCTGAACAACTCTCTAAAACAAGTCTGGAAGTACCACAAAGCAGCCTATAAGAAGAGAGTTTTGAGAGGTAGGAAAAGAAAATTTCGAAGACTGGAAATTTTGTGTTAAACTTTAGGTATGTATTGGTGCTGTGATGTCTTGAGTTTAGGAGCCTAATAATATTTTACATTCCTAGTATTAAACTTTTGTAATCAGATTTCTCCTGTATCTATCCTGTATATTTCCCAAAGTCTCCTAAACTTTCCTTGCTGGCTCTAAAATTCCTTCTTCCTGCTCCCAAGAATGGTCATTAACCTCTTCTTTCCTCTTTCTTTGCTCTTCCTAGCCTATTCTTGAACCCCGTATTGTGCAGGAGGACATAAAGTTCTGAGGAAGGATAGAAGAAGCAGAAGTTAAAGGAACGGGTAATTAGAGATAAATTATATTCTTTGAATCATAAAAGAAAATTTCTATAAGTTACTAATTTTTATTCTTGTTCCGCAACAAATAAGCCAATTTGAACAAAAGAATTAAAATTTGTCAGTGAATTAGAAGATAAACATATGATTCAAAAATTTAACCAAGTAACTTCTTGACAAATTTAGGAAGTCTATGGTAAAATATCTATTATAAAACCTACCTCCTTGTGATTAGGAAGAAGTAAATAATTTAGCATCTTAAAATTTTCTCAATCGGTCTAAAATCTTAGTTTATGTTTAATGTCTATTATCATAAATTTGTCAACCTTAGAGTATTACTGGAATCAATCAATAAGCTAATTCTCTTGGGAAAGCCCAACAGAAGGTCCAAGAGAGTTAGAATCTCAGTCTCCATATTTCCGATTAAAGAGAAGGCCAACTAGATATTTCAAAAATACAGTATATATCAGAAATTATAGATTTCCTTACGTTTTATGATCGTTTACACTGAAGAGAATCTACATGACCTTGAATGAAAATAATTCGATTTATTTGTAAACTAGATTGAGAATAATTAAAATGATTTCATAAATTCAGGAGTAATATTTATCATCCCAGTCGTGTTATCTAAATCTTGGATTAAAATAAGACAAGTCTTATTCTTAAAATTACCAAGAGTAATCAGACTCAATTTTTCAAATATCTAAAATTATTCTTACTGACTTGCTACCATTAGCATCATTTATTTTTTCAAATAAGTTTAATGACTTAATAGATTTCGATATAGCTTATACCATTTCTTCCCCGATAGAAACCAGAGAAATTCTAAAATCTCCTGTTTTCACTCATGACATATCTTACATAGATTGATTCACAGATATTCAGCAAGGTAGAAAATCGAAAATAAGGAGAGAAGTTCTCTTCCTTCTAGACTACATCTTCGATTTCCTCACTCTAGATGAGCTGGCAAGCATGTGATTGGTCAACAAGTTCTTCTGATATGTAGCAACAATGGAGAAACTATACATTAAGTTTGGCCTTGTAGCTTCAGAAAGCCAGATCTCTGAGTCTCTTTGGAGCTACAGAGTTTCAGAAGTCCTCGCTACGCTCAAGGCTCTGAATAGTAAGTATAAATCCTAATTTATAGAAAGTGCATCAAGTTCGGTTAAACCTACTGATTCAAATTGGATGATCAGCAGTTTCCAGAAAAGGTCCTTAACAAAGAATTCAGCATATTCTTTAAACAAAAGTTCTGAGGCGAACCAACTTAGGATCAGTAATAAGTTATCAGGGAAGAATTTGACGATACTAAATAGGTCTAAAACCTTCTTAAACGTTTCCAGTGAATCTCAATTTAGGTTCAGTATATCTCCTAATACTTTAGAAAATCTAGTTTTAACCACGGAAACACTACGAACAAGAAGAAAAAGAGGAATAATTTTCTGAAATTGTCTCATTCTCGGACTATGACTAATAATGAAAATGTAAGATATGTCAAAGCATAGCTCATTCCCTTTATAGAACATAATACCAATGAGTAAGTAGCATAACTAAAGAGCTGACACAATGAAGTTTTATAACTCAGATAGAGACAAAGGGCTGGACTAACTCTTTATAGATATAGACAAAAGTGAGAAAAGGATTAGCGAATACTCATTTGAAACCTCCCAATACATGCCTGTGAATCTTAGTATTGAGGGTTCAAACCTAAAGACGCTTAAGGAGGAATCAATATCGGATAGAGAGAACAAAGAATCCAATCATTCGTAAAGAAGGCTACCTTTCTACATCTGTCTATTTTATATTATTTTGAAAATTTTCCTGCAACAGCCAAAATTTAAAGGTAAGATCGAACATATTTCCACTCTAATCATCCGCAGAACTCCTCAGATTCTACTAAAACTGTAGTGGTATCACTTAGAATTACAAAATTATTTGATTCATAATCTTCTCTACAGGATGAAACAGCATAATGGAGTAAAGCTAGTTTTCGAAATCCTTCGAAAGCTTACAAAAATCACTCATCAGATTTTTGAAGAGTCTATCCTTTAAATTTTTGAAAAACTCGGATGATCACCAACCAGGGCCAAATTTTCATTAATATAATTTAATAATTATAACCAAACTTTCTTGCCTCAACTTCTAAACACAGGCATGGGGTTTTGGGGTTTTGGGGTTTTGGGGTTTTGGGGTTTTGGGG